CCCCGCGCTCGCGCCTAGATGCACGCGGTGGCTGCTTGTACACTGCAGGGTTCACGGTCACCTAAGTTCACGCTAGAATTGTGAGACATGCGAGCGCCTTGGCAAGAATAGCGCACAGGCTGAATTCAGGGCCTGGTTGTGTCGCGGGTGAAGCTGTGTTTGCGCTGTGGTTAAAGTCAAGTACGGTCGAGAGCGGCGGCTCCACTCCTAGCTTGTACTGACCTCAAAGAAATAATGAAAAATGTTTGCCCCAAGGTTCCATTATAAGGGTCTCATCGCTGCATTTTTGCGTATGTTTGTGATTTTTTTTAAATCGTTGAAGGAGGGGCCTGCTAGCTCTCTGGGCGCAGAAATAGTCGAGCTCTGCGGTGGACAGCCATGCGGATAGGGCTGGGCCTGTGGTCCAGCGAGCTTGACCAGAGTGTGTGGGGACGCACCGCGGCCTGCGCCTCCCCCCGGGGCGGTCATTCCACCTGTGCGAGCAGGTGTCGGCCCCAGGCCGGGGCGGGCGGTGGGCAGAGCCAGGGCTGGTGGCGGTTCTTCCTCTACTTTGGTTCTGTCTGTGTTTCCTGATAGACACGTGCACTTGCTGGTAGTGGTCGGTGAGAAGCTTTGGCAGTGGGATCGGGGTTGATTTTTTTTCTTTCCAGCACTGAGGAGGGAACCTGCAAGCAGGTGAAAAGATACTGCAGGTGCTTTATTGACATGAAAAGACAGTCGCACTGCATTACGTGAAAAATGCGTTAATTAGTACTTGTAATTGCTCCTTTCTCAGTTTAAAAATAACCGTTTGTGTACACAGTTCTACACACCCTGCATTAAAGATCTGTGTTCATGGAAGGTCTGTGTTCAGATCTTTCATGAACATAGAAGCTTGACAGATTACTGCCGGCATACTTACTGCCTCTGGGCAACTTGGTGACAGGTTTTTCTTTTTCCTGCCGTTTGTTTCTTATTTATTTACTTTTCATGATGAACAGGTATTACTTGAATAATAAGAAAAATTCATTTTTAATTTTATGCTTTGAGATTTGTTGTATTCAAAATCATTAAAACTTGAAACTTAACTTAGTTACATTTTTGTTTAATTATCTCAGCCTCCAGCTGCACCAACCAGTAGAAATTATGCAGAAATGAGGGAGAAGCTTCGTTTACGGCTGACCAAGAGGAAGGAAGAGCAACCCAAAAAAGCGGACCAGCTCTCGGACAGGGAGAGCGTGGTCGACCACCGGCGCGTGGAGGACCTGCTGCGGTTCATCAACAGCTCGGAGCCCAAGCCAGCCAGCAGCAGCCGGGCGGCCAAGCGCGCGCGGCACAAGCAGAGGAAGGTAGGCGGGCCGCGCTGCCCCGGGCGCCCCGGCTGCTTCTGCCAGCCTGGGCCAGGCTCTGCTTCAGGCCTGTGTTGTCTGTCCGGGACATGGCGCCCCCTCCTGTGTCACTGGTTCGTTACTGGACCTGAAACAAGCCGCCGGGGCCGTGTGCTGCTGGCCGGGGAGGTGGCGGGGCCTCCTCTCTGTCTTGGAAGGACTTTCTTCCCCAGGGAGGTAGAGGAAGGAGCCCTCGGTTGTCGAGGTCGGGGGCGGTGTGGGTTTCCAGAGACTGGGTGGAGGATTGACTCTGAGCCCAGCTGGGACCCGGCCCTTGGCTTCCCCTGGACACCGGCCTGGGTGGCCCCTGTTGGCAGAGGAGGATCAGGCAGTGCTGTTCCAGAAGAGGACCTGCACGTGCGTTGATGTCGAGGGTGAGAGAGTGCAATGACCAGCTCTCTTGGGCCTTTCCCACCTCGCCAGAGGGCGTGGGAAGTCCCCAAAGCAAAGAGCTACCGGCACGAGCCAGGTTGGCCCGGCGCTGGACCGCGGCTGGGCCTGTGGCTAGTGAGCGCACGTGTCGTTCCTGTCAGCGTCGAGAGTGTCGGGAGAGGTGGCTCCGCTAGAGTTGTCGCATCCGCCCCAGTTCCCTGGGAGGGCTTCCACAGGCCCCTGCAGGGGAGCAGTATCGGAGAGCTTCCTGTTTCAGCCACGGAAAGATTAGAGACGCCAGGCTGCAAGAGCCGCCTCAGTGGGCAGGCCTGGGGGATGCCTGGAGGGGACTCGGAGGGTCACGAGGGTTCTGGCAGTAGGATGGGTTGCTCTGGGTGGAGGTGAGGCCCTTGCCAAGTCAGAGGTCAGAGGAGGAGGTGGCATGCCCACAGTGGGCTGGAGGTCAGGCTGCATGTGTTGCTTCCAACTTAGCTCTTTGTGGTTGAAAACTAGTTGTGTTTGTTGTACTGAGTGGAGTAGCCGTCAGGAGGCCTGCTTGTACCTCACAGCCCTGAGGGAGGTCTGGACCTGCTCTCAGGTCTAATTAGGGGGCTTCGAAGGAGAGGCCTGCTTCTGCCCCAGAACATCTGGGTATGCCAAGCCCTGCTGGCCCGGGGCGGGGGGACCTTCAGCATCAGGGTCCCAGGGGGCCCGAGGCCCTGGAGACTTCCCTCTGGGATTGGTTGGAGACTCAGGACGCATTTCGGGACTGCCCTCTGCTGGACTCCTGTCCTTTGTCCTTCAGGCCGTCTGATCCAAGTGATGCTACAGCCCCGACAGCCTTGCCACGTGCCGCCGCCCCCCCCCCGCTTCCACGCACCCCCAGGAGCTCTCTCCTTGCACTGCACTTGCAGGGCGACCCGCACACCTGTGCACATCTTGATGGCTGGCTGGTTGCCGGGATGAAGGCAGCACACCTGGGCTTTGGGTTCCCTTTGTGGCGGGTTCGGCCCAGACTGTGCTGTGGGAGGCACATGGCAGGAGCTGTCTGTCAGGTGCCGCCTCCCGAGAGGCTTCCCTCTAGCAGACGGAGCAGGATGTCATATAATTGTTACTTGAGTTGTCACATCGGGTGTTTTAAAAACCTGTCATTAAAATCTTCACCTAATTTTATATGTAAGTCTTTAAACATAAAGACAAGTAAATTCTCTCTAGAGACTGCCTACTGAAATATTGTGGAAAAAAATTTAAATTTGGAAGGACCGTTACATTTTCCCATGCAAAATGTTTCTGCCAAAGATTCTTAGGAGCACAAGCCTTATGGAGCTCAGTGACGGAGGAGCCAGTCTCTGGTTTTTTATTTGTTTTCTAAACAGAAGGAATCGTTCCATTTATGCCCCAGGACTATGTTGTCACCAATAAAACACGACTTGCACTTGAGGAGAAAATTGATTTCCCACTGACTTGGACAGCAGGAACAACCATTATGTGTTTGCCTTTCCTGTGCTGAGTATTTTAGGAAGCCACTTGCTCTGTCACAGTAGCGAAAATATGTTGGGAATTCTGTCTGCGGGTGGGAAAAGGAGTTTCGAAGTTTCTGGTGCCACTTTCCTCTGTGTCCTCCCGACCCTCGTGAGCACATCAGCGCCGGCCACCACCTGCCCGGGTGCCTGCGGAGCCCTGGCGGCGCCCGTGAGGCCGTGTGACCGCTGTCCGTGCAGGGCGGCACCCCCCGTCGCACTCGCAGTGGGGATAGCCCTGCGGCGGGAGCGGAGCAGCGGCCCCGACTTGTTCCTGTGCCTTGCTGTGACTCGCCCGCCCCGCCGTTAGGGAGGGCGT